TGACGAGAATAAAAACGGCTGCGAGGGAGACTATTCTTCTTCCGTCTGAAAAAACATTTTTAGTAAATATGCCACAGATCTTCCCCATCAGTTGGAGCCGGAGTGCTCTTCAAGCGAATATAGACAGGAAAGCGAAGTAGAAGATGAAGAATATGAAGGAGCGTGAGATTTTAATTGTGAAAATGTCGACCGCCAATCGAACACTTCATGGTGCTTATGCGAAAGATGTCCGTAATGCCAACAGGAGTCAAGTCAGTGTGCTGTAAAGACCTGCCATTTTTCTCTTGAATGGTCGAAGATACTCTGTGATCCAAAATCTTCAACTGCGATTTGTAATATTTTCATATAAAGAAACTCTTAATGAATAATAAAACTGGGAGCAGCTTTACTTGACTTCTTTGTTTTGTTTTGTTTTGTTTTTTATTTAAGATCGATTCTTTTTTTAAGTTAAACTGATACTGTTGTTTATTTATCGTGTCAATCCTTCGGTTTGATTTTGGTATGACTCTACATAATTCACCAGAAAGATCGAATATAGGTGATTTGCAACTAATCTCTAGAGACACAGGTAACAATGGTGAAAGGAACAAATGCTGGTGGACGAACAAAAGGAGCCAATGAGATATCTATTGTTTACGTTCACCAACATGGCGGCAATGACGTAAAGTGCAAACCACCGATACATCAGCGGTGACTTGGGCATTCCGTTTTAACCTATTCAGTCTCGCCATGCTAGTCACCAAGACAGAATTTCTCCCTACAATATCAATGCAGTAACCAATAAGACAAATCATGAGAATAAAGAAAAATGACAATAGTCCATTTTACAGTTGTGTGCTTGGTTGCCAAGCCTTTGAACGGGAGTGAGGCTAGGNGAATCCTAACCGCAGCCGTTGAAGAACAATACTTATATTTCCAAAATAGCAGGAAATTCCACGCGCAAAACAAGATGGTTCTCTTATCAGATTTAACTCTGCTCTCAATTTACAGTTCATGCTTACGTGAAAAAGAAAAAAAAATTGTTCACGTGGACACGAAAAGATAAAATAGCTTCAATCACGATTCACGAATAAAGGAAAAGTCAAATCACGATTTACGAAAAAAAAAATGACCCAGTCACGCTTCACGTACTAAGTAGTGGGACTCTCTTGAATATCTAAGGCAAACTTCTTCGAAATCTTCCGAAGTTCAATTCTATTGACTAATCCCTTTCTGTTTACCCATGTAGAATGTGTTTGGTTTCCCTCACGCTTGCTGGGTCGTACAGGAAAAATATTTGTAATTTTGTAGGAAACTAAGAAGAAATAAGGCAAATGATTGTGCAAACATACCCCACTTTGGTGTTTACTATATTCCAGCCAATTCAAAACAACCCCCTGTTTGTATCGAGTTCTTTCGGAGACAAAGCCGGTTGTCTAGGCTGTGATGAGCATTTCAATTAAACCATCCATCGTCTATCTTCGGCTTATCACGCCTTTGGAGCTGATCTGAGCTGAAAAGTTAATCATTGCAACTGGTTTTTAGTACCTAATAAGACGCCTTCACTGCATAAACCATTTAGCTCTGATAGGGATAAATAACAGGTTTCGAAATGATACAATTGAAAAAAGAATAAGTTTTGTTCAGTTTCCAAAAAAAAATTATCACATGTAAACGCTTCAATTTAATTGGCTTCTCTAACTTTTCATATCCTAAGTAGAGGGTCCCCTATACCCTTTTATAAAACCCAGTCAGGTAAAAGTATTTCGCCTTTTCACCCATCACGAAAAATATCCAGAACTCTTTCACGTTCACGCGAAATACAAGACAATTACTTTGAAGTACTATCATACTTTTCTAGTCTTGCTCAGTCTTACGCGACAAAAGTTGATGTAACGTCTCATCATAGTTGTTGAAGAACCAGTAGTGGTCTGTTTTGCGACTTTTATCGAACCAGGGGGTGGGGGGAGGGGGGTGGCTCATCGAAATAATCATGAACCATAAATATGGAGGCCCATCTTTTCATCATGGGCCATAGGGTCAATTAAGTTAGACTGATACTGTTGTTTATTTATCGTGTCAATACTTCAGTTTGCTTTTGG